TTAAGTTAATTTGTAATGATTATTCTTGCTGTGATCATATAAATCTTACACTTTTAATCACTTGTTGGGTTTTTTCTTCCCATGAACTATAAGTTCTGGATTGTGGATGGTTGGGTCCCAGATTAGCAGGTTCTGGTTAATCTAGCAGTGTTATAAAACAGATCAAATTTCCAGCTTGCAATTAATAAAAATATAATTAAATATATGCAGGCAAAGCAGAAGATAATTTAATCTTTCTGCTATGATTCAGAAGTCATTTTAGGTCATCATTATATACCTCAATTATAGTATTGCACAAGTATAGGAAGAGTGGTGAGTAGTATTCAGGTTGAAAGAAGTCCAGACAGACCAGATTTTACTTCATGTATTTACAAAGATGCAACCTCATAACACCAGGTACTGCATTCACTGTTTTCCCCCAATATACTGATCCTAATATAGGCTCTTGTAGAGAGCCCCCTATAGTTAATCTCAGCTGATTAAATTCATTCTTCTAGCCTATAGTAAAAAATATCAAGACTTTTTCATTTTCATGGGATTATCCTCTCAAAAAACTTCTACATAAATAGGACCCAATCATATTTTAAATACTATTTCTGAATATATTTGCATGTATTCCTTTTGGTATAGCAAGTTACAATTCCCATTTATAGCTTATGTTGTATTTTAATTCCATACTGTACTTCATTGCTTAACAAAATATACTGGTCATCACTCTCCTCCCCATCAAGTTATTGGAGGGTTGCTTAAGGGGTTGTTTATGACTTGGTAACTAATCTTTTTTTTTTTTTTTAAGAAGAAAATATCATGAAATTAAAAATTCCTACAGATCTGAGAACTGTGCTTTGTTTCTAAAAAGCCCCTTTATGTTGGTCAAATAAATCACAATATTTACATATCTTTACCTTATTTCAGTATGTATACAGGTTTTTCATTAAGAATGGGAAAGAACACCATATTTACTTGCTTTCCATATATACATACTGAAGAGAAAAGGTGACTGTTTTCCTTTTCCTTCCAAATTTATCAGTAATAGTGGTAGGCTGAATAAATGACCCCATTTGTACAAATTTTAGCATATGACTTTGAGCTTCCAGGTAGCATTGATGTCACAAGATTGCTGCTGTAACTCCAGCTATATCAATCATATTCCAAGCAATCATAGGGCTTGAGTCAGCCCTGCTAGTAACTTACCACCAGGTACACAAATAAGGAGTTCCATACAATACCTCCCATCCACATACCATTGCCTTCTGCAAGGAAGGTTATGAAATGAAATTTTTCACTGGGCACAAAATCAGATTTCTGTTACTAAGAGCAAAAGGAAGAAAGGAAATGAGATAGGCAACTAGTATTACCTGCCTTATTTTCTTTTTAAGTATGTGTTTCCTTAGATGAACTGTGAGGTCATGGAAGGCTGAGATTATGTCATATTAATTTTTATAATCTCAGAACCTAGCACAATACCACAGTTTATTACATTTTTCAAAATGTTTATTAATTAAAGACAAGTATAACAGGTGAGTAAGTGGCATGAGTTTGTTCCATTTATTTTTTTTATTAAAAAAAATTTTTTTTAACGTTTATTCATTTTTGAGAGACAGAGGAGAGACAGAGCCTGAATGGGGAAGGGGTAGAGAGAGGGAGACACAGAATCTGAAACAGGCTGCAGGCTCTGAGCTGTTAGCACAGAGCCTGACGCCGGGCCTGAACTCATGAACCTGTGAGATCATGACCTGAGCCGAAGTCAGACGCTCAACTGACTGAGCCACCCAGGTGCCCGGAGTTTGTTCCATTTATATTGTCACTCATTCATTTAATTGTTATTTCAACTAATATTAATTGAGCTTCCAGCCTGAGCCAGGCCCTGTATCAGGCATGGGGAATACAGTGATAAATACAACATAGTTCCTGGCTTTACAAAGCAGGTAGAGGTGACGTTAGGGGAGGATAGGAATGGCTGTAAAAGTAAACAGGCAATTTCGGGGCGCCTGGGTGGCTCAGTCGGTTGAACGTCCGACTTTGGCTCAGGTCATCATCTCACAGTTCATGAGTTTGAGCCCCACGTTGGGCTCTGTGCTGACACCTGGGAGCCTGGAGCCTGCTTCAGATTCTGTGTCTCCCTCTCTCTCTGTCCCTCCCCTGCTCACACTCTGTCTCTCTCTCTCTCAGAAAATAAACATTAAAAAAATGTTTTTAAAGGTACACAGGCAATTTCAAGGTGATGTGGGAAAGAATAAGAAGTGGTCCTGAGCCACCATTTGAGAGGTTATGAAGCTGTAAGTAGTCTGGGTGAAACATAGAGTTAGGGAAAGAAGAAGAGAAAAAGAAGGAAAGGTGGGGATAGATAATAAAAAAAATAAGTTATAATCATAAGACCATAATTTATTCCTGCCAGCACACATACCTATTTGTTGTGACAAAATGTTTGTTTCTCCCTTAGACTTCCTCATGAAAGAATTTCCCAACACTCTGTCCTTGATGGATCTGTCCCACTGACAAGGTTCTTGGTTGGCCTAAACTGTAATCACAACTGTGTTCTATGGACCTTATATCCAAGCATGGAGCAACTGTCTTCCCCGCATCCCATCTTACAGGATGATGTTCCCTGGTAGGCCAGTTTGGGAAATGTTGGTCTAGACACATGTTTCTCAAACTTGGCAATATGAGTCTACTAGACACCATAAAAAAGAGTTGCCAGGCATTTCCAGAGAAAGGGAATTATCCCCAGAAAGTGCAGATCTGAACCTGGTTTTCTGAGTGTGTTTACACCTTGGGTTTCAGTTACACGAATGACCAGGACGGATATAGGTTTAGCTGGACTAATGGGTCACCACTTCAGCAATTTTACAGTCAAATAAGTTATCCCTGTGATGCTGTGACTAATAATTAAAACACTCATCTCTTCCTACAAATAATCCGGTTCAATTCAGTTTGTAACATATATGGCTAGAAATGTATCTACATCAATTCCTATTTTCTTTGCCTACCTTAGAGAAAAAGATAGCCCCTAACCATGAAGCAGAGGTCACAAGAAGAGAGACAGATTTGAAGATGATATGTATGCTATTGCCTTAAATACGGAGGAAGAGGCCACAAGCCAAGGAAATCAGATAGCATCTACAAACTAGAAAAAACAAAGCAATGGATTCTCCCCTAGAGACTCCAGATGGAACACAGCCCACACCTTGACTTTAGAATTTCTGACCTCCAGAACTGCAAGATAACACATTCTTGATTTTAGCCACTAAATTTGTGGTAACTTTTTTAGTAGCAATAGGAAAATAATAATACACAGTAATATATCTCTAGATGGTGTCCCCCTCCCCCTTCACAAATCTTTCTTGGGATTCTCCTCTTTTCTGAATCTACCCTCTCAGATTATTTTCCTGAAAGTCAAATCTGATTATGTCACAGGGCTTAAGGTGCATGAATACTCACTGATTCTAGGTAGATTACTTTTGGGGAATATATTAGAAACCAGAAATAAGAGTTGTTTACAAAATCCTGTCAAGGACATTTGGTATGATCTCAGGAAAGCTTAACAGGGATGTGATTATAGCTAAGAAAGCTTAAAACAAATTGCACTCTACACTGAAGAAAAAATGTATTAACCATATGGGGTTGAGGTAGAGAAGAGATTTTTCTGGGTTGATTCAGGACTGGACAGAGATAAATTCACTTGACTCTGGCACCATCAGTAAGACACACGCTGGTTTGGAGGCGGGGATACTTCATCATGTACCTGGAGCCTACTAAGTGTTTATCCTAAATATTGGTCATGGTTAGACTATCACAGTCAACTTCATCCTGATTTAAATGCTAGTCATGTGAAAGTCGGTTGTCATAAGCCAGTCCACTGTTCACCTCTGGATGTGTGATAAAATTGAGGTCAGGACGCTACTGGTGACCAACAGAAACTAGATTAAGGTTCTTCTTCTACTTCCATTCCCCTTACAGAAAGATAAAAGATATGTCCTTCAGTAAGATCCTGAATCCTAGTTTAACAATAGCCACACTTCTGCCAGCTATCACTCACCCCTGTTTCAAGACCTCCACCAAAAAGGGAGGACTATCAACAACAACAAAAAAGGGTGGGGGGAGGAAAGTTCAAGGAAGGAAGAGGTCAAAATTGGCAAATGCCACAAAGGGCATAACAAAATGCGGATTAAATTTTTCCATTAGATTTGGCAATTAGGTGGGTGACTGATGTTGTTCAGTGGAGTGAAAGGTTGACAAGGGAATGAGAGTTTAGGAAATGTTAACGTTAAGTCTGGAAAAGTCCTCTTGAGAAGAGGATCCATGCCCTAAGGAATCACCTTAAATAAAATTCCCTCAGAGTTTGCATTTGAATCCTAGAGAACTCTCCTTGTCCACAAATCCTCCAAATGTTTATCAGCCAAATTTGAGTCTCACTGATCTCTCTTTCTCCTCAGTTCACCTCAAAGGCAAAGGAACTAATGGGCTGTGCAATAACTAAAGGTCAAAAAACAAGAGGAAGAAACAAAAGACTTACAAACACAAACACAAACTCAAAACAAAACAAATCAGGTCTTTGGTAAGAGAAGCTGTACCAAGTTGTGCTTCAAATTTAATATCCTTGTTTTGGTTTAAAAAAAAAAAAGAAAGAAAGAAAACTGTCTGGAGAATTAAAAGGGGCATTTTATAATTAGAATGTTTTCTTGTATCTTGGAATGTTTTCTTGTATTATCTTCACTCCATCTCCCTCCAAATTAATAGCTGTTGCTGAGTTGTGGGCATGTGTGAGCACAAGCCTGGACCAAAGACTGAATTTTGTCCAGTGGCTAGAGTAATTGCGTGCCATTTAAAAAAAAAAAAAAAAAAAAAAAAGGTGGGATAGGGAGAACCACATACATATCTGCATTTCCAGATGAAAGCACTGGTTTTCTTCCTCGACGATTTGCTGTATTTAAGGGTCAGGGAGGGGGGGAGCAGTTTTCTGAATCTGAGCCCAGCTCTTTCTAAACTTGGTTACTCACGTCTGATTCATTCGCTGTGTTTTTCATCTCCTGTCTCTGTCACTGCCTGCCGCTGAGAAGGGGGTCGCTGAATCACTGCCACTCCAGATGAAAAGCAATTCAAACCCAGTCCTTGGAGGATGGAAGGTTTTGTTTTGTTTTCTTTCCTTTTTTAAGCGTCTGCAGAATAAGCCTCCTACTTTCCGACATGACCGTAGAGGGCAGTTTTACAAGTCTCACCCGGAGCTCTGGAAGATTTTGCTCCTGTGAGAGTCAGTAGGCACTGGTCACCTCACCATTTCTGGCTTTTCTGGTCCATAGGCCCCGGCGGTCGGGGGTGTGTGATGGGGCGAGCGGCGGCGGGGCCGAGCTAGGGGCGCCGGGGTGAGCTTGGCCCGGTGGGCCCGAGCGGCTGCGCCGCGCTCCCCGCCGCTTTAAAAGCTCCCACAATGCAGCGCTGGCGTCCCAGTTCCGTTACAATGTCTCTCACGGCGCGAGTGAACCGGCAAGGAGCGGGCGGGGAAGCCGGAGAGCCGGGGCTGTAACCCGAGCGCCCGGCCGAGGGGGGCGCCCCCGCGCCGCTCCTCTCGCGCGCTCTACCCGCGGCCCGGCGAAGGGGCGGAGCCGCCCGGGTGCCCGAGCCCGGCCCGGCCCCCAGCCCAGAGGCACCGGCCGCGGGAGCCAGCCGGCCGCCAACTCCACCGTCCGGCACAACGCTCTCCGCCCCGCTCCTCGCCGAGCCTCGCTAGACCGCCCGCGGCAGCGGCGGCGGCGCTGGGGGCGGCTCCTGCGG